AGGGGTTTTGTTGCCTAGTCACCCACCCCCTAGCCCGGGACCCCCACACTCTCCCCATCCCATCCCTTCTTACCTCATGTAGCGGGTGGTCACAGGGGTTACATCCCTGACCCCCAGCTTCTCCCCCGAAAAAAATTTCCCCACCAGTTGTTGTCCTGGTCTGTCAGGGTAAGTAGCTGGCACGCCGGGACACTTCGTTTACTTAGGTTTACCTCCATGCCTGCGGACGCTCGAGGTAAACAAACCATCTCGGCCCACCAGCAGCTTATCCTGATGGCCCGGGAGCCAAAGTTTGCTGACCCCTGAATTATAGGGTCGGCTTATGAATGGGTCATAAAAATTTTCCATTTTTACTTATCCATCTTGGGGAGGAGGGTCAGCTTATAAACGAACCGGCTTATGATCGAGTATATACAGTATATTAGAATTGTAAAAGGTACAGAGAAAGCCAACAAAAATTATTAGGCATGTGGAACAACATCTATATACGGAGAGATTAAACAGACTGGGTCTTTTCAGCGTGGAAAAAAGATGACTAAGAAGGGATATGAGGGAGGGCTATAAAATCTTGACTAGTGTGGAGAAAATAAATAAGGAAATGTTATTTACTCCTTCACATAACACAAGAACTGGGGATCACCCAATGTAATGAATAGGCAGAAGGTTTAAAACAAACAAAAGGAAGTATTTCTTCACACAATGCACTATCAACCTGTGGAATTCTTTGCCAGGAGATTTGTGAAGGCCAAAACTATAACAGGGTTCAAAAAAAGAACTAAGTTCGTAGAGGCTGGGCCCATCAATGGCAACCCCATGCTCTGAGTGTCCCTAGTTTCTATTTGCCAGAAGCTGGGAGTTGATGACAAGGGATGGATCACTTGATGATTTTCTGTTCTGTTCATTCCCTCTGAGACGCCTGGCATTGGCCACTGTCAGAAGAGAGGATACTGAGCTAGATGGACCACTGGTCTGACCCAATATGGCCATTCCTATGTTCTAAATGAGGGCTGAATTTGCCCTTAGCCCAAGTGGCAAGGGCATATGTATTTCATATGGGGAAAAATACATAATTTCAAAATGTTAAGTGTGTGTCAATTTTAAATATGTTACATGTGCTTGTCATATGAAAGGGAGCCACTTACATACAAGTCATTTTTGTAGTCTGAAATTAATACAAACATCATTTCTTATACTGAGGTTATCATATTTGCATTTTCTGCTGGGTTTTTATAGGTCAAAGAACTTATTCTGAAAGGTAAAATAATGTTTGTTTTTATCCTTTTTGTAACCAAGACAACTGTGCTGATATTTTACACAGGTAATTTGCAGCCTATCGGAGGAGTACAACAGCCGGCAGGCTTTATGCAATGCCACCAACGAAGGCCCTATACTTCGAAACCCTGGGAACCATGATAAAACAAGGACACCTCGGCTCCCATCTTCAGCGGAGGTTGAATTTTGTCTAACGTTGACTCAATACGAATCAGGGTCCATGGATAAATTGGCCAATTTCAGCTTCAGAAACACTTTGGAAGGTAACACATTTTATTCTACTATGGCATTTCCAGTCATAGGATGATCCTTTCCAGGGATATAGAATAATGCTGTTTCAAGATGGAAGTTGTAACTTGTAAATAAGTAGAGCATGTAAACCTGGGGCAGCTTGGACTGATTTCATGGAATGGAACTGATAATATACCTGATGTCACAGTTCCTCCTGGAAATCTCTAAGGGTACGTCTACACAGCAGCTGGGAGATGTGATTCTCAGCTCAAATAGATGTACAAGCACTAACTCTGCTCAAGCTAGTGCCTAAAAATAGCAATGTGATTGTACAGCATACATGGTGCCTCGGGCTAGCCGCTTGAGTACAACCCCATCCAAGGTCCTAGGTGTGTGCTCAGGTGGCTATCCCAAGCCACTATGGCAACATGGCTATTCTTAGTCTGCTAGCTCGAGCACAGCTAGCACATGTCCGTTTACCCACACTGGGAATCACACCTTCCAGCTGCTGTGTAGACATATCTACACAGGGTATGTCTACACTGCAAGTGTCTACACTGTGGTGCCGAGTGTCAGAGCCCAGGTAAATTGCCTCAGACTTGTGGGGTTTGGGCGGAGGGGCTAAAAAATAGCAGTGTAGTTTCTGTTTGCACTGTAGCCTGGGATTGTAAACCTAGTGAGGGAGGAGGGGCTTGGAGCCCAGTCTCCAGCCCAAGCAGGAATGTCTACACTGATATTTTTAGCCCTGCTGCCCAAGCCCCACAAACCCAAATCAACTGACCTGGGCACTAAGACTCAGTGCCATGGGTTTTTCTTTGCAATGTGGACATACCCATAGTTAGAGATTAGGTTAAGCCTTGAGATATGAGGTTTAATATCCCTTCCAAAAATGCACATTATTGGAAAAGTGTGACTTCTCCTCCTATGGAAGTGGTATAGTAAAATAAGGACAAACTTTTACACCAAGTACGTACACAAGAGAAGCACCAAAAAGAGGATAGGTAGTTAGAAATTTGGTCACCCTTTTTAGCATATTCAGAGGAGGAGAGCACCTCAGCCAGCGAGCCAGAATCTTTTTAGCCAAGTTCCTTGAATATTAACCTGATCCTGAGTAAGTAATAAGAAATATAAGATGTAGCATGTTAATATTTTATTGCAACTTTGCCTTCATGAAAAGTTGCAAAAGGCACAATTAACTATAAGCCAGTCCCTTTTTGAATCTTGCTACCTTGCTAATGATGCTGGAAGATTATTTCTATTTATAAAATGTGTGTATTAACTGCTTCAGTGCTGCCTGATATGCCCAGGGCATGGGGCAGGCCATGTTTCCATTAATGCCCCATATAGTTGGCAGGTAAGTAACCTTCTCACAGAACATGGAGACAACAAAGGGCCACGATCATATTCCACCACAACACTGAAAGTTGCAGCAAGGACCAGCAGATGAAGCCTTTAAATTTATGCATAAAACACTTGACCTCCTTCAAAACATACAATGAAATATTCTCAGATCAGAACTGTGCGCCAAAGTCTCCTCTTACACTGGTGAAAAATTTGGAGTAACTCCATTGAAGCCGCAAGCGATTTCAGACATTGAATGACTCCAAGCCTGGAAATAGTTGGTGCTTGATGCAGTGGAAAACAGGGAAGCAGTGGAGTTTTTGGAAAGAGGGAGGTGATATGGCTGGAGAGACAAGCCAGAGAACCAGGAAAATGGATTTTTTTATTTTTTGCTGCTGTGTTTTGAACGGATTTAAGTATTGGGAGGCAGGGGGAGATGATGTCAAAGCCAGAAAGGAGGAGATAAAAGTAGTCAAAACATGAAATTATGAGGGCCTAAGTCAGAGTTTTAGCAGCATGGACAAAGAGGAAGGGCTGGACCTTGGAGATGTTGCACAAGAAAAGGCAGCAAGTCCTGGACACAGTCTGGATGTGTGAATGTACAGAGAGAGAAGAATCAAAAAAGACACCCAGATTGTAGGCCCAAATGACAGGTAGGATGAAAGTGTTGTCCTTGCTTCATGAGAATGGAAGGAGTGTGAAGGGCTTTGGAGGGGAAAAAAAAAAAATGAAGAGCTCAGTTTTTTTTCTGTTGAGCTTAAATTGGTGTCTGGACGTCAGAAAGACAGGCAGGGAATGTTAGAGTATTGACATTATGATTCATATTACAATTAGAATTTATTTTTGTATAGTGTCTTCATACAAGATGCATCACAAAACACTTTGAAATATTATATATATTCTGGGATAGCTCTTAAAGGTATATTAAAAGGCAGTAGCACAGATGTTCAACAAAATCGCACAATAATCAAGAAAGAACTTAAAACCTGCAGTACCTCAATAGGTTGGGAAGACCTATTTTAATTCTTATTTTGCAGTCTGCTAAACTAGCAATCAATGTTTTGTCTGATTAATCCATTGAACCCTTTCTCCAATGCTGTATCTTCGTCACTTTAATTTCATGGCTGCTGCGCACAATCACAGCAGTTTGTGTTGAGACTTGTTAATATCATAGCGTGTGCTCCCAACAACACTGTGAATGGGTTATTGCTTTAATTTGGATTGTGCTACAGCTGAAAGGACATTGAGGCGTATTTTATAATATATACGGCAAATCCGCTGTTCTTTATAATAACCTCTCAGAAGTTCGACACTGATATCTTTCTTCTAACCCAACACCTATTCTTCCACCACACACACATGCTAATTTAAAAGAATCATAGAAAGACGGTGAATGATGGCTGCTGGCAGTATATTAACTGGGGCTTTGGCTAGTCCAGATTTAAATGGTTCCAGTGAAGGAGCACCGACTACACTCCAATGGAGACTAAGTGGCCCATTGAGATCCATGATAGGATATTCCTGTTCTGGTTTTAAGGGGGTGGGAAGGATGGTCAGATACTACCCTGCTCCTGGAACTATGCAAAGGGGTCTTCACAGGCTCCAGGATCCACCTCAGGGAAAGATGGGCCTGGGGAGGAGAGGTTGAGTCTGTGGTGACACTAAGAGCATGAACCTCCTCGCCTTGTCTGTTCTGCAGAGGTTACACAAAAAAGGCAACACAGTCCACTTCTGCAGATTCCCTCTGTCTGTTCTGGGGATCCTCCTTTAAGAGAGAAGTCATGGCTATTGGAAGCTCTTGTAGCAAAGTCTAAATGGAGCCATCCTGCTAGGGAACAGGTGTGGAGGGTGTTGGAAAGGGGCAGGGGTATTGACACTGGACTAGGTCGATACAAGAACCGTAATTGCATTCACATGACACCTGGTCCCAAACCATGACCCGATACAATGTCAATTTGAAGTAAGTTTTTCAGCTCTCTTCTTCTAATAGAGTTAAACAGAAAAACAAATAATAGCAAAATATAAGACCAGATTTTCAGAACAGCATATACAGGTTTTGTTCAGCAAAAATGATGCACACTCTTTATGTGCGCATAAGGCTATTGCATAGGACTTTTGCACACTGCAAGTCCCCTGAATGCCTTAAGGGACTTTGACTTTAATAGATTGTGATCTATTCATTCCCCTCCACCTCTAAGTCACCAGACCTAATTCTCCTATTACATTAGTTTTACATTGGTGTCAATTCAATGGAGTTACACCAAAAATGTAAATCATGAGTAAGTGAACACAGAATCCGGCCAATAACCTTGTGACTATGTGGTTCAAGAAGCTATTTATACTTTTGAAAGGGACAGGATCATGCCCCATCCTATAAAACATATACACAAAGCCACATGAAGAATGGGAGTCCGGATGCTTTTTGCTGAGGCTCCTTCCTTGAATAAATATGTTTGACGGGCATAGAAGATCACTGCGCACGTTTATGCTCATGACCATGAGTAAGGTGTGTCATTGTGACTGGCTAATTTTTAGTTGTGTTCAGATGGCAAGCTTTAAAATTGCCAGCTTGCATAACACTGCCACTGTTGTTAGGAGAATGTACTGTGCCTTTAAGAGCAGAGCACATGTTAGAGCAGTGTTTCCCAACCATCAGGCCTGAAGAGGCGTGCCATGAAATTTTTTTAAAAATTACATGTGAGAACTAAACCTTCCCTGATATTTTAATTCGTGTCGGAGCTGGATCGCATTCTGTACATTTGCTCTCAGGCCCCTTTCAATATTATGCATGTGTCACATTCCAGTCCCCAAAGTGAGGTTAAGAGGGATAAAAAGTAAGCAAAGATGGCGTGCCCTGATGAACGCAATGAGCCTTTGATGATGATGCATATTAAAAAAAAACATACAACTCAAGCCTAAATTTTATATTTATATTTGACTGGGGGTAAAAGCTAGAATGAGCCTGACGCAGAACAGCATTGTCATTATTTATATTGCATTTAAAAACAGCAGAGAAAGTTACACACATTTTTGAAATGAGAAGAAATGATTAATTATTAATTGCTTGTCATGCCAAATTATTATTCTCAAGTGCATGCCACTTTCTCCATTGAGCATGCTTTTGTCCAGAGTTCTTATATTTAGCTTTAATGTTAGTTTCCACTGTTGAAAATGTTAATTCTGGCACAAAAGACAGATCACTATCTAACATTAGCCACCATGGTTGTTTTGATTTTAACCCTACTAGCCTTGATCGGCTCATGAATATACATTAAGAATGGCCTATGATAGCGTAACACTGAGTCTACACTCATATGAACTTGACGTTATGGGAATCAAATGGTGGTCAGTGTGTTTTTCAGATCTTACAAATCTCAAAAGTTACAGCATTGAATTTCAAATTTTTGACCCCAAAATGGACAAATATTTGAAGAAAAAAGATTTTGGCTGTTCCATCTCTACTTGCAGGGATGAACATAAAACTAAGAAAGTAAAAGTGGTGAACCAACACTTCTGTGAGAGCTATCTGCAATATGGATTTTAGTCTACAGGGGAACCATCTTGCCCTCTTCCACAATGTCTCGTGTGCAGGGAGAAACTTTCAAACCATGCCATGGTGCCAAGTAAGTTAAAACGACACCTTACAAGCAAACATTTATCCCTTGCCAAAAAGGACATTTTTTTTTTATGC